CTAATAATAAGGTTCCAAAGTCTTGTCATGGGTAAACGGAAAGAGCAGTGCTATCTTGTTCTTGGTACGTGCGATAAAGCAATAGAATAACTCATTTTTGAGAGAATATAAAGCATTCAGAATTTTTGAATAATTCTCCAGAAACAGTTTGAACGGTTACAATACAGATGTTAAAGAATTGAAACCTTGTTCCGGAAACCGTTTGGATGCAATAAAACCAGGTCGATTCATGAATGTGGAAAAGTATGATATCTCATTCAAAGAAGTTGGGGTTTTGACATCGACCGATTTAAAATTTGCATCGTTGAAAAAATTAGACGCAAGTAATAACAAATTAACGAGTATTTCGGGGTCGATTTTCTTTCATGCGACGCGGTTAGAGGAAATAGATTTCAATAACAACAAAATAGGCAGTTTGAATAGAAATGATTTCAGTGGAGCATCCAAATTATCAACAATTAAACTCGTCAATAATAAAATATCCAACATAGACAAAGGAACATTTTCCGATCTGAGCCAGTTGGCTTTTTTGGATCTGAGCGACAATTCCATTGAAAAAATCGACGAAAACATGTTTAAAAACAACAAAAATCTGCAAACACTGTATTTGAACGGCAATCCAATTCAACGTATTGATAACAATATCTTCATACCATTGTCCAATTCAGCTTCAGTAATAGTATCTTGTGATCATGTTAAAGAGTTTGACTCCAGCCATTTCACAAGCAGTATAACGTTTAATTATGATCACATAAAAGTGTCTATAGGTGATTGTCGGATTGATTACAAGAATTTGAAGTACTTGAATATTTCCGGCAACCAACTTCAGAACACGTTGGAAGTAATTAAGCATTTTGGATCGTCAATGGAAACGTTGGACGCATCTTCAAATTTTATCGGAAAATTAACAGCGGAAACATTCAAGGATTTGGTCAATTTGAACTATTTAAACCTACAGAATACCAATACAACTACCATTGATGCCGATACATTCAATCCGTTGCTGTTCCCAGAAAGTGATCGAAAATTGCAAGTTTTACTCTTAAGCGACAATCCAATCAAACGACTCGATTCAAATGTTTTTCTGCCCATGATGAATTCGGTCAAAGTCGAGGTCAAAGTGTCTTGTGAATATGTCGAGGAGATAGATACAAGTTACATCAAAAATTTACTAAATATTGACGTCAATGCAGCGGATAAAATCGTTTTTACTATCAAAAACGCCGCATTTGAATTGATTTGTACCGCTGAAAGATTCAAACAATTAACTCATTTCAACATATCTGGCAATCAACTTGAAAATGGACAGAAAATTATTGAATGGATAGAAAATTCAACTGAAGTGGGAACAGAAACTTCCAACTGTCGACTTTCAATAATCGACTTTTCCAATAACAACATCGCAGATTTAAATGAGGGAATATTCAACCGTACACCTGATCTAATTGAAATCAACTTCTCGCGCAACCTCATCAATGAGCTCCCACAAAATATTTTTGAAGGAGCATCAAAGCTGTCGACAATCAATTTTTCCAAAAACAACATTACCATTCTGCAAGAAGATTTATTTTTTCATACTCCAGATTTAATCGAAATCGATTTTTCGTACAACAAATTCACTGCGCTTCGTCAGAATGACTTCGATGGAGCAGCAAATTTGACCAAAATCAACCTTTCGCACAACAATATATCCATCATCGAAACGGGAATATTCACAAATGCACCAAATTTAAC